GTTTCTCCCACTCTTCCCACTTTCAGAGAAAGCCGGTAACCGAGAATAAGCTCCTTTGATTTCCAGCCCCACATCTACATCTCTTGCTCTGAATCCACTCTCAGATCTCTCCTTTTCACAGTAGACACTGCCTCTTCTCTTCAAGATTAATATTTTCTGCCATCTGTGATCCCTGCTTTGGTCCAGGTCCTTACTCCAATGATCACTGTCTCTTTCAGTCTTACATTCTACCTTTTCATTGTCTTCCAACAATCTTCCCTTACTGTCTATATAATATACTTAAGGCTCTCTTGCCCTAAAAAAAAAAAAATCCTTCTTCATCTTTGCCTTCCCTTCTGGCTACTGCCCTCTGTCATCTCTCTTAAAGTCAAGGCCCTAAACTCAGAATAGTCTACACTCACCATCTGTATTTCTTCATCTCGCATTAGTCTCCAACCCATGACCACTGCCAAAGACATGCCACAAGAAGTGTTTTAAGATCACTGATCCTCAAATCCAATGGATTCCTCCTTCAGACTCCGTTTTATTTGACCTTAAAGCTTCAAATATTTTTCCTATTCTCTATAGGCTTGTCCTCCTCTGCTCAATCATTTTTTTTCCTGGTCAGAGGATTTGTATGTTCACCAGAGACAAAGAGAGAGGGAGGGAGAGACACAGACAGAGACAGGGAGAGAAAAGCACAAGGTACCCTTAATGGGGCATGGTCACACTACAATCTCTCTTCCTCCACTGTCTATCCTGTTGGGATTTCAGAAACACAAACACAAATGCCCAGTGTTTTCTTCAAGCAGCTGGGCCAAGATCTGAACTATACCCAGCCATATGAGATTTGGTTTTCTTTGTCAATGAGCTACAGGACTGGCCCAACCAAGCTTTTCTTCTCTTTTGATATAGGATATGTGCACACACCAGCATTAGAGAGAGAAAGAGAGAGAGAAGAGAGAATTGGGAAAGACATAAAGAGCACCTCTAGGGTATGGACATGGCTGGGTAGATGGCTAACCCATAATCCCTAATCCTTTTGGGACTTTGGACACATGTGCCTGGCGTTTCTTTCAAATTGCTGAATCTAGGAATCGAACTGTGCTGTCGGCCACGTGGGATTTAATCGCCTTAACATCTATGCTATCTGTGGGCTGCTGACCAAGCTTTTAGTAATGCTTTTTTTCTTGGTTTTTGTTTCCAAATCTCTCCTCTTTTTACTCTTCACACCTTCTCTGGGTGGTTGTTTCTTTTCTTACAGCTTTTAAACAAATATTTATCTCTAGTTTAGACCTCTTGTATAAGTTACAGACTCCTATATAACTGCCTTTAGGGATCTTTAGATTATTTTAATATTCAACCTTCTCAGGCCAGCAAGGTGGTGTGGTGGTTGAGGCACTGGACTCCCACAGAGTCGACTGCGGTTCAAGTGCTGGACCTGGCGGCTTGCTTTCTCACTTCCCCCAGCTCACTCACTCTCTCTCTCTTTGGTGAGCATATGCACCCTATAGCAAATTAAAAAAATAGTAATAGTAATATTAACAAATAAAATTAAATAAATAATTCTTTAAAAAACATATTCCGCCTACTCAAGATTTAACTTATTACTGATCTCTCTCAAATCTGGTCATCTTCCCTGTATTTCCTGCTTGGTAACTGACATTAACAACAAATTGACAAACCAGGAATCTGAGGGAGACTCTAACCACTTCTTCAATCAGGATCCATCTCCTTAATGCACCTATCATATGCGGCCCCTTGCCTCCATTAGTCCTACTACTTCACTGGTTTAAGCCCTCTGTCATCTTTTACTTGGGATTCTGCAAGTCTACTACTTTTTCTGCCTCTTCCAATCCATCTTCTATAGTGCTGCTAAAGAAATATTTTTTAAAAAAATGTAACTCAGGGACCAGCAGTTGGCATAATGGCTGTGTTGCTGGACTCCCACGTAGTCGACCTCGGTAGCTTAAACTCACGCCGGGCGCATGTGCATGCATGCCCAAGATCCTGAGAGGAGAATGGAGGAGAAGGGATTGTGGCGTGGCCATCCCCCTGGAGGGTGATTTCTCGCTTTCTGTCTGTCTCTGTCTGTCTGGCAAGCACACGTGCCTTATAGCAAAAACCTCTCCAAAAAAAAAAAAAGTAACTCATTTATAATTAATTCCTCAATATCTCCTTTTTCCATGGGTAAAGTCTGATATCCTTAGCACAGCAAGTAAAAATATGGCCCCCACCAACCTTTCCGACTTCATTTTTTTCTATCATCTTCCAGCCCACTCAAAACTCCAAGTATATCAAAGTAACTGCATTTGCTCCAATCTCATCCTTACCTATCTGCAGAATTTTACTGATATTTTAAAATCTTACTTAAGCATTAGCTCCTCCCTGAAGTATTTCCTAACCTTTTCTCCCAGTCCTCTTGTCATTCTGGAAACTGGCCAAATCCCTTCATTTTACTTAGTACAGGCTTCGTTCACAGCACTTACTATTTTTTTCTTCTTTTTTTGGAGTTCTTTTTTTTGCTATAGGGCACCGTCTGGAGGAGTGACCCTATCTGGTTCACTTCTGTAAATTTAGAACACAGTATAATTCCTGGTACCATAGAGTGCCACATAAATGATAAATCAGAAGATGTAGGACCTGTCTTAAGGCAATATCCATAGCTACTCAATAAAGAAGAGAAGCTTCATAAAAATTCAAACATCATATGCCATAAAACAACACCTTACCTATATTACCAAATATTATTCCATTTTCTGTTGATGCTACTTTAACATTAGCTTTGATATTTGCAAAATCATGAGGAGCAAGAGTCAAAGGAGAAGGCTTTTCCACAAGTTTCAAATCGCCTGAAAAAAGAGTATGGACATGGTTAAAAATATATATATAACAACTATGAAACCTTACAATGTATGTGGTCTAACAGTTTCTAGTAAAACTAAAAACATGAGAAAAGTCTGACTCAAATACTATGAGGACAAAACAAATCATTTAATGCTCCCATTATTCACATCAATTTGTACATTTTCTATTAAAATGTAACTGGTACTTAAGAATATTTCTGTATTTAATTGATGAGCAGGGGAGGTACTTTGAGCATACCGTAGTATTTCAATGAACAAATTTATCAAAAAGCTCAGCCTTAGGGCCAGCTCTGTGGCACAAGGGTAAATGCATTGCTCAAAAGAAGCCAGATCCCACATGGTTGCCACATTTAGAATCCTTGGCCTAGTCAGCCTGAAACACGCCAGACACGCCAGACACACGAGAGAATGTCCAAGATCCAACAGATCTGGAGGAAAGGGATCAAGGTAAGATGAAATGTTATGGAGGGTGTTCATCTCTCTCCCTTTTCTCTTTTCATCCTTCATTCTCTCTCTCTCTCGCACATGTATACGCCTGAATTTGATCACTAACAAAGGGAAACATTACTTAAAAACACAGCTCAATCCGCAACCAGCGGATAGAGTATTTCCTCACCTAGAGTGGCTAACTCTAATGTGCAGTTCTGCAAAGTATCACTGGTTTGGTTCACAACAAGTACATCCAGGACAATGTCATACTGGTTGACATGAACATAAGCTTCTGCATATACAGGATCTGAGAAACCTGTCAACTGGGTGACCTGTCAAAACAAAAATAAAGACAAAGTCAAATGACTAACACAACTTAACCAAATACATCACAGCCAAATGATTAAGTTTGGCAAATAATTAACAGACAAGCTTTATGAGAAAAGTTCCTTCAAATATAATAAAATTCTTTTATAATGCAGAAATGGACACTGAAACTAGGACATTAGAAATTGCAGGTCCAGCCCAACTGTTGTGGGGCAGTGGTAATGCAAGTGCCCTTCAAGGCCGAAAGTCACATGGCCAACTATAGTCTGGATTTCCAGGATAGCCCGAAAACATGGCAGGTACCCAGGCAGTTACCCAGGATCCTGAGGGCTGGGGAAAGAGGGCTGCAGGGTGATAGGACTCCGTACAGGATGCTTCTCTCTCTTATACATGCACAATCATTAAAAATAAATAAATGGGACCAGCAGATGGCATAATGGTTATGTTGTTGTACTCCCATGTAGTCAACCGCAGTTCCAGTCTCAGACTTGGTGGCTTAAACTCACGCCGAGCACGTGTGTGTGTGCCCAAAATCCTGAGAAAATGGAGGACAAGGGATTGAGGCATAGCCATCCCTCTGGGGGCTGATTTTTTGCTGTCTCTACGGGTGAAAGCAAGCACCCTACAGCAAAAATCTCTAAATAAATAAATAAATAAATAAATAAATGGTCCTATGGTTTTTAAAAAAATGTTATTCAAGCAATACAGATTTTAAAACCCTACTTTAAAAGAAGATATAACCACACGTCTATTTGACTTTAAACTCAACAACTTAATATAAGGTATATTATATATGTTAATTTTAAGCTTAGTAGTTCAGGAACAGAAAGATATCACACATTTAGCAGATACACTAAACATTATCCCAATTTAGCAACTGAATACATTTGTATATATTTTCAGTGAAATCTCTTAATTAATATCTAAGTCCACTATTCTCTGAAACTGAGAAACCAATTAAAATTGAAATCATGTGGTGGTCTCTGCTACCTAAGCTTAAGAATTAAGAAGAGCATATAGCAAGAAATGCTTATAATACCACAAAGGTAAAATTTTATCTTTATGACATTACCCATTCATTTCTTTTTATTGCCAGAGGGATGTGCGCTTGCCAAAGAAGATGGAGAGAGAGGAATAAAGAGAGAGAGAGAGAGAGAAAGAGAGGCACCCTACCCAGTGGGACACACTCACACTGAAATACTTTTTTCTCTACTCTCCCTTCCTATCAGGATTTTGGGCATGCATGCACATACCCCCTGCCTGTTTTTCAAGCTTCCAGGGCAGGGCCTGAACCACAGTTAGCCAGGTAAGATCTGACCCTCTTAATCACTGAGCTATAAGCCTCTCCTCTTATTTTAAAACAACCAAAGTATAGAACTTTAAAAATGTAATACTGTCATTAAAAGCACAAATAACAAAATAAAACTAAATTAACTGGATCATATCAAAATTTAAAGTTTTTGGGGCTGGCCCCAGTGTAAAGTAGTTAACTGCTGTGTGGAGGGAGCTGGATCCCACATGGCTGACCACAACCTGAAGTCTGGCCTTAGCAGCTTGAAAAACATACCTGAGGGGATTGTGCCATGATCAGTTCTATGGGGGGGGTACTTTCTCTTCCTCCTCAGCACATGTATATACCTTCTGGCATTAAAAATAAAATAAAACCTTTCATGGATCAAAGGACATTATCAATAAGAGAAGGTAACCCATAGAAGAAAATATTTGCAAATAATTTATCTAATGGGGTTCATTACCCAAAATATATAAAGAACTTTAAAAAAATGGGTAAAGGACTTGAATAGACATTTCTGCAAACATGGCCATGTACATAGCCAATAGTACATGAAAAGAAGTTCAAGTCACTAATCATTAGAGCAACACAAATCAAAAGCACAATGAGATACCACATCATACCCATTAGGTTGACTACTATGAAAAAAGCAGAAAATAACAAGTGTTGACAAAGATATGAAAGAATTGGGACTCTTGTGCACTGGAATGCAGGTTTGCACCCACCATGGAAAACAGCATCGAGGTTCTTTAAAAAACATCAAAAGCAGAATTAATGTAAAATCCAGTAGTTCTACTTCTGAGCATATATTAAAGCAACACAAGTCTTTAGGGATGGATAAAAGGATAAACAAAATGTGGCATAATGTGTAATATTACCCAGTCTTAAAAAGTAAATAAATTATGAAACATGCTACAAAATGAATGAGCCTTAAAGACATCGTGCTGAGTGAAATAATCGAGTCACAAGGGACAAATACTATTTGATTCCAATTATATGAAGCCCTTAGAAAAGTTAAAGATCATAGACAGAGAAGGTAGAATGGTGGCTTCCAGGTGATGAGAAGTGTTTAATAAATGAAGAGTTTAGGTTTTATGAGAAGAAAGTTCTGGAGATGGTTGCTCCATAATGTGAATTTCATTAATGCCACAGACACTTAAAACTGGTTAGAATGGCAGCCAGACAGTGGCCAAGTGGTAACGCAATACCCTGTGATGCTGGACCCACATGAAGGGGTCCCTGGTTCCTGTCCCAAGGCCTCCCTGTACCTGCCAGGGGCCAGCACCTGTGATCTGGGTTGGGTGAAGCTGGGGGTGAAATGTGGAGTAAGGATCCTGTTGGGAGTACCTGTTTCTCTTTCTGTGTTATAGAAAAAATAGACTTTTAAAAAGGTAAAAATGGTATCCAAAGAGATCATTTAAAAAATGTATAAACAATATATTGTTGACTAGTAGAGAACAGGAGAAACAGGTCAAGCTGTCAGGAAAGAAGCCCATTCAGCTTCACTTTAAAAATCTTAGTTAACTTCTAAGAATACTTTGTCTCTATTTCTTAATCTTTGATTCTACACACAACTGGATCTAGTTATAAAATTATTTAACAGTCTGACCCCTTTCCAAGGTCTGGCTTGAACCTACCTCTTAGTGAGGACAGGAGGCCCACAGGCCTCACCAGACCCCAAGAGGCAGATGGGAGGCAGTGTGTGCAGCCAATGGCAGAGGGCCTGGCAGACTTCTCTTGCTCAGAGGTCTCAGGGGTTAGGGCAGGACCCTGGCACACCTGCATCCCACTTTCTGCTTCCTGGTCTGCATGTGAGGCAGGCACAAGGACAGCCATGTCAGAATGAGAGGCCTTACTCCAGGCTGCATCCCAGCCTGGTGGGTGGGGTCACTGCTTCTGCAGATCAAATAAAGATGCAAGACATGTAATAAAAGAATATGAAGAAAATGGCCAGTTATTCTCAGAATTTAACTTCTGTAAGAATAAACATAAAATAAATAAATAGACTATAAAAATGAACAGAACTCAAACAATTTGATTGTTTAAGAACTTCTTTTTCTGGGTCTGGTCTGGCTGAATTGAGGGAAAGAAGTTTCAGATTTATGGTAATAAAAAACTAGGAATAGATTTACAAAAGACTTCCGACTATAGTTTTTAAAAATCAGCTGTTTTGCAATCAGACCTAAATGTTGGTCGTACTTGAATTTATGCATAAAAATGAGTATGTTCTTCATGATAAAAAAAGCAGTGAACCTACTTTGCACTTACAAATAGCCAAATGGGTTTATATTGCAATCATGGATTTTCTACCAGACACCAACTTGACATAAACAGTATCAAGAAAATCCTAGAAAAGGCTATAATGGGACAAGAGAATCTACTAGCTTGGAAGGTGGCAAGCAAACAAGCCTCATCCAGATAGTGACAGTGCAGTCCTCTGCTACCCTATGCTCTGGTGGTTATGTTGAAAACGTCGTGGGAACGGAACTGAAGGACCCTGTGGCTGTCCTGACTATTAAAACAAATATGTAGAGTATGCTCCCTGAATCAGTGCTTGAATAGGATTCTTCTGGAAGCAGATACTGTGAAATAGCCCAATTTTTGGCAAATGTTCACAGATTAGCATATGATGAAAAGACAAATTATCAAATGCTCAAGAAAATTCTGAACCAAGGTAGAATACCTTTAGAACCATTGAAATTTTCCACTACAGAACAAGTACAAATGTGTGCATTCCAAATAATCAAAAACTTAATTCACAAAAGGCTGTAACAAAGCAAGTCAATCCAATATATCCAATGTAAAATAGGTTAACATAAAAAAAAAAAAAAAGCACAGTGAGAGAAGTGCTGAGTTCTGTGCAACATGGAAAAAAGTACAAAAAGGAGAAGTTGATTGGATTGACGAACAATAATGCAGCTCAGAAAAACTCCAGATGATAAAAGTATCACGGAGTCTCAAGATTAATTTTTGAATGAAGTGAAGTTTCCCCCCAAAATCTAACTATACACAATTCTTTTTTTGGAGAAGTTTTCGCTATAGGGCGCGTGTGCTCGCAACACAGACAGAGACATAGAGACAGAAAGCGAGAAATCACCCCCCAGGGGGGATGGTCACGCCGCAATCCCTTCTCCTCCATTCTCCTCTCGGGATCTTGGGCATGCATGCGCACGCGCCTGGCATGAGTTTTAAGCCACCGGATCCGGGACACAAACTGCGGTCGACTACGTGGGAGTCCAGCGACATAGCCATTATGCTTACTGCTGGTTCCCACTATACACAATTCTTAAAGTCATATCATTATGATATTATCAGCCTATAGTCACAAGTCATGATTTCCATTTTGGTGTAAATACACTTGCACAGTTAGTATAGGGGTCACAGACTTCAGAAAGTTCTGTGGGATTCTGGCCTACGATTTTGCAGTTTACTCTTAGTGAGTGAAGAAACAGTGACAAATGTGTATTACTTTTCCTTCTGACATATGTATTTCTTTATATTTTCTCTAAAGTATTAAATAAAATCTTGATTTTTTTTTTAAGAGAGATTTTTGCTATAGGGCACATGCACTTGCCAGAGAAACCGAGAAAGACAGAGATAGAAAGTGAGAAATCACCCCTCAGGGTGATGACCTCGCGGCAATCCCTTCTCCTCCATTCTCTTCTTGGGATCGTGGGCATGCATGCACAGGTGCATGAGTTTTAAGCCACAGGATCCAGGACTTGAACCACCGTCGACTATCTAGGAGTCCAGTTATGTAACCATTACGCCATCTGATGGTTCAAAAATCCTGATAATTTTTAAAGTTAAAAAAATCACCCAAATAGCTTTACAATACTATTGTATACAATAAAGTACTTCATCAGTTTCTGAGTGTCAATTGGAATTCAATGTAAATATCAATGACTTAATAAACACAAATGTGCAACTAAGCTATTTTTCCTTTAAAAAAACAGCAGGACCAGCAACTTCCTTATTATTTCTCAAGTAGTCACTTTAAATACTTCACATTTTGTTACCTTGTTAAGTTTAGATGCTAGGGGATCTGCTGCCTCTTTCCTCTGTGTGTTACCCATGGCTGCCAGCAAACTCAGCTGGAACTGATCTTCCTTGCAGTTCATTTCATTCTTAGCAGTTAGTTGCATGAAGGAAATGGGGTCATCAGGCTGTACAGTCACATTCCTCTTTTCAGATTCTTTCTGTGTTGAGAAAACAATACACATGTCTCTCTTTCAATACGGAAAGGAGGACAACATTTCAAAGGTCTTCAACAGGGACAGCCTTCACATATAAGGACTATACCTTACCTTTTGGGATAATTTCTCTTCTTCGAGTTTAGCAGATAACATGTGAGAAAGGGACTGCCTGCATTCCTTATTGAAAATGTCATTCATTAAAGGTGAACATTCAGACAAGACCTTGAGGCACAGGGAAATTCGATCTACATCATCATCAGTAATTGGCTTCTTAGGAAGAGAAGATTTTCCCAAATGAAGGATAGTAGCCATAAGCAACATAGCCTCAGCAACAAAAGACTGAAAAAGTGAAGGAGAAATGGGTTATTTATTGTACCAGGATTCTCCAATGGTAATAATGTCATTTATAACTCATAATCCAAGAACCTAACTTGTCCCTTCACCTGAATAGACTTTCAGATCCTACAGATTTTATTTCCATAGTGTCTTTATCAAAACTTCTACTTCCTAACTGCCACCCTCTAAGACTTCTATTAACTCTCAATTGCAAGACAGCAATAGTTTTTTTAACTTTTTCCCTTGCTTCAGTAACCTCCTCCTATTTCCCTTCTTATTCTCCTGTATGTGTATACTTAAGTTTTTTGGCTGAACACATCAAAGTATAATTCTTCACATCATAAAGACTTCAGCATGCATCTCCTAAGAATCAGGAGTTTCCTATAAAACTGTAATAGCATCTTCTCACCTGAGAAATTTAACAATCCCAAAATATAATCAACTATACTCTGAATTAAAATAAATCTTCCAAAATCACCTCGAACTGGTTATTTTTAAAATCTAAGATCAGCTTTGTGCATTTTATTTACCTATTATTTTCCATAGTCCCTTTTAATCTAGATCAATTCCTTATCTCCATTTTTAATCACATCAATTTTTTTTTTTTTTTATTAAAGAACTGAGCCCAGTTGTTTTACAAAATGTCCCACAGTATTGGACAGAATACCAGAAAGGTGATGTTTTGTGTTTCTTTTAAATTTTTTATTGATGTTTTGTATTTCTAAATGTACTGTATCAGAAGACACTTGATGCCAGGTTGTCCCATTATTGGTGATGCTAAGAATGGATCTTAATTTTACTACTGAACTGATCATTTCAGTATCCACGCAAATACCTTCAATGATTTCCCTCATCCTTCATGCTGAAGTCCATATTACTTAGCCTGCTATACAAAGCCTTACATAAGTGATTTTTGGCTTGCCTTTTCAATCTCATGTAGCATTATTCTGACCCCTGTGTTCTATGCTTTTGCCAAACTGTCTTTGGTGGAGTACTGAATAATCTGCACATGTGCTAGAAAAATCACTGGAAGCCTGGAACAGAACCTGCAAGTATACTAATCCTCCAAGCTTGGCTACATCTCCAGAAGAGGAAAAAGAGGATAAGACAGAAAAGAAAAAAAAAAAAAAAAAACAAACAAAAAAACCCTGAAAAAATAATGATTGAAAACTCCCGGGATCAGCAGTTAGCGTAATGGCTATGTCGCTGAACTCCCATGTAGTCAACCGCGGTTCACGTCCCAAACCCGGTGGCTTAAAACTCACACCGGGCGCGTGTGCGTGCGTGCCCAAGATCCCAAGAGGAGAATGGAGAAGGGACTGTGGCATGGCCATCCCACCTGGGGGGTGATTTCTTGCTTTCTGTCTCTCTGTCTGTCTCTGTCTGGCGAGTGCACACATCCGAAAACAAACAAACAAAAAACTCTCAAAAAAGAAAACTCCCCAATCTGGTGGAAAGTATAAGCCCACAGACCGAAGAAACTCAATGAAACATATGCAAAGGAAACCTGAAGAAACGCCAAAGCATATCCTAATTAAATTGCTAAATCCCATTGATAAGGAAAAAACTAAAATCAGCCAGAGCAAAAAAGGACACACTCCACATAAAGGCCTAAGAATGACAGTACACTTCTCATCAGTAAGCCAGAAGACAATGGGGTTATGTCTCTCCAATACTGAAAGAAAAAAAATGTTAACCTTAGAATTCTATGCCCACAAAGGCATCTTTTAAAAATGCAGAAGAAGGCTGGATCTATGGCCTAGCGGTTGAGGGAACCAGATTCCACATGGCTGATCACAGTTCATGTTCTGGCCCTTGTGGTTTGAAAGATGGGGCAGGCACATGGGAATATGTGCCCCAAATGCCAGAAGGACAGAGAAACAGAAAAGTGACAATGCCTCACTGGAGGGTGCTCCCCACCCCGCCCCCGTCTTTGTGACAAGTGCATGCCCTTTAGCAACTGAAAAGACACAGTAGGAGGCCAGCACTGGCATGGCAGTCGGAGCAGCTGAGTCCACGTGGTCAAATGGGTGATCCAAGTCCCAGATGCTGTGGCTTGAAAAACATGCTGGGTCCATGTGCATGCATGTCCAAAATCTCAAGAGAAGAAATGCAGGAAAAAGGACTGCAGTGTGGTCATTCCTCCTTGGAGTGTGCTTTCTCAACTTTTGCTTTCTCCTCTCCAGCATGCACACGCTACCTATACGACGACCGTGGTTTGATTCTCAAACCTAGTGACTTGCTTTCTCACTTTCTCTCACTGTCTCTGGTGAACACACAGTCCTTAGGGAAAACTGAAATAATAATAACAAATAAAAATGAATGAATAATTTCTTTTTTATTTTTTTTTTTGAGATTTTTGCTATAGGGCACATGTGCTTGTCAGAGACAGACGGGGGAAACCACCCCCCAGGGGGGATGGCCATGCCACAGTCCCTTCTCCATTCTCCTCTTGGGATTGTGGGCACACACACACATGTGCCCGGTGTGAATTTTAAGTTGCCAGGTCCAGGACTTGAATCGCAGTTTATTACGTGGGAGTCCAGTGACGTAACCATGATCCCATCTACTGGTCCCAAAAATAATTCTGAGAAACAAAACAAAAAAAGGAGGGGAGGGAGAGGAGAAATAAAGACTTCCGGACAAAAATCAAGAGATTCTTTGCCAACAAGTTTGCACTACAACAAAAGTAAAAACAGATTTTTTTTTTTTTGGAGAGGTTTTTGCTATAGGGCGCATGCGCTCGCCCCAAAGAGAGAGAGAGAGACAGAAAGCGAGAAATCACCCCCCAGAAGGGATGGCCACACCACAATCCCTTCTCCTCTATTCTTCTCTCAGGATCTTGGGCACACATGCACAGGCATGCGCCCGGCGTGAGTTTAAGTCACTGGGCCCGGGACTTGAACCACGGTCAACTACCTGGGAGTCCAGTGACATAGCCATTACACTAACTGCTGGTCCCAAAACAAATTCTTTAGGCAAAAGATTTATGATACCAGAGAGGAAATTAGATCTACATGCAAAAAATGAAGAGTGCTCAAAATGGCATAAATGAAGATGCGTCCAGTAAGGTGATGAACAAACTTCCTTTTCTTTTGCACCAAACACAGCAGACTTTAACAAAAAATATTATAAGAAATCTGGCTCTTAAACAGGTATTAGTGAACATTCTCCCAACATCTACAAGTGAAGCAGTCATTCCATTAGAGAAAATCAAACTGAACTCTGAGACAAAAAATTGTTTGCTTTTTTTTTGAGAAATTTTCACTGTAGGGCGCGTGTGCTCGCCAGACAGACAGAGAGAGACATAGAGACAGAAAGCGAGAAATCACCCCCCAGGGGGGATGGTCACGCCGCAATCCCTTCTCCTCCACTCTCCTCTCGGGATCTTGGGCACGCACACACACGCGCCCGGCGTGAGTTTTAAGCCACCGGGTCCGGGACACGAACCGCGGTCGACTACATGGGAGTCCAGCGGCATAGCCATTACGCTAACTGCTGGTTCCCGCTTTTTTTTTAAAACTTGTCAGAAGGGATATGTGCTCACTAGACACAGACAGAAACGGAGAGGTTGAAATCCCCCTCAAAGAGGCATAGTCATGCTGTAATCCATTCCCTTCCGTTACTCTATTCTGTCAGGATTTTGGAAAAGCACAGTGTCCAGTGTATTTTTCAAACAGCCAGGGTCAGGATTTGAACTGCATAGTTGGCCAGGTGGTAACTGGCTGCCTCAACCACCAGGCCATTGAGCTGGCCTTGTTGGAGATTTTTTTTTTGGGGGGGGGAGAAATTTTTACTATAGGGTGCGTGTGCTCGCCAGACAGAGAGAGAGAGAGAGAGAGACAGAAAGCTAGAAATCACCCCCCAGGGGGGATGGGCATGCTGAAATCCCTTCTCCTCCATTCTCCTCTCAGGATCTTGGGCACACACGCACACATGCCCAGTGTGAGTATAAGCCATCGGGTCCGGGACTCGGACTGCAGTTGACTACATGGGAGTTCAGTGACATAGCCATTACACTAACTGCTGGTACCCCTGTTGGAGATTTTTAAGAGGCAAAATTTAAAGATTACACCAGAACTTATAAATAATAGCTCAAGAGTTACAAAGTACACTACTGTTCATAAATCAAAATAAATTGGTAAGAGATAATACATCTTGTAAGTTACCTTGTCCTCTAAAATTTCATGTATAGTTTTTTTTGGGGGGGTGGGATTGCGATAGGGTGCATGCACTTGGTGGAGAGAAAGAGGGAATGTGAGAAATCATCCCCAAAGGGGGATGGTCACGCTGCTGGGTCCAGGACTCAAATCATGTAGTTAGCCATGATCCAGCCACCTTAACAACCTCCATGCTACCTGCTGGCCCCATATAAATAACTTTTTTTAATGACAAAAGAAAAAAAAAATCACTTGGAAAATTCCAAATATAAAAGGAAAATGTCTAATTATACGGAAGGTAAATGAAGGAACCAGACATCTAATGAACTACTATAGAAAAATTAAACACTGGGTGGTCAGAAATGTCATGACATATTTTTGCATAGAAAAAATAATTATGACTTTTTTGACAACCCAATAGTATGACTATGACTAAAAGCATTCATAATGTGATAAAATGTTTGCTATAACATTAAGGGAAACTGCATTACTGTAAAACACAAAATGATCACAATAAAGGAAAAAGTGTTGCACATATAGAAATTAACTTAAAATCCCTTAAGGAAAGAAGAATTTCTATATCTGGCAATATAATTCTAGTGCTATTTCTGTCTCTATCACAAAATTTATAAGATTTGTATTTGAATGCTATAACCATAGTAATTTTTTGTTATAGCTTTTATTATATCACTCTTTGTTTACTTTAGCAATATTAAAAAAGAAATGAACAAATAAAATACAATAAAAACATTCATAATTCTACCGTGGAGTTTTTTTTTTTTTTTTTTTTTAATGCAGGAAAGGCAATATAAAGACTTTAAGCAAATGAAAGCTGAATAAATTCTTTACCAGTGGACCTATACTGTAGAATGATTGAGCTGTTTAGGCAGAAAGAAAATTATCAGATAGAAATCTGCACTTATACAATAAAATGAAGAGCACCTTAAATAGTGAATATGTGGGTATTAAGACTTTCTTATTTTAAAAACAAATCTTTAAAAGATACTATTTATTGGGACCAGCAGGTGGCGTGGTGGTTAAGGTGCTGGACACTCCCATATGGCTGACTGTGATTTGAATCCGGACCTGGTGGCTTACTCTCTGTTTCCCTGTCTCTTTCTGATCAAATTAAAATAAATAAATAAAGTTAAATAAAATAATTCTTTTAAAAAAAGATACTATTTACTGGGTTGCTGGAAAAGTCATGACACATTTTTGCACAGAAAAACAGAAAAGATACATCATGACTATTTTTTGACAACTCCATATAACAAATTAAGGGGCAAACAAAATATGATACATACACACATACATATATGAGGAGTCTTCAGCAAGTTCATAGAAAATGAGTATTATGAAAAAAACTGCATGGATTTCAAAAGTGCTTTTAACTTTTTAAAAAAAGTTCATTTATTTATTTATTTATTGAGAGAGAGACATCCTTGACATTGTCCTGACATGATCCTTTCCCAAGCCCTTCAGTCAGTCAGGACGTGCAAGCCTGGCCTGTCCAGGCAGACTCAGGACACAAGACTGAAACTTTCCCGTACGGATTCCAGCATCCCACAGCACTGTCTGTATCACTGTAGCTAATATAAAATTTTTTTGTAACAAAATAAACCTGCACTTCAATTCCATTTTCCCATTACTGCTTAAAGTACCCTTGTATATACACACAATAGAGTATTATTCAGTCTTGAACAGCAAGGAAATTCTGGTATATAGTATAACTGGGATGAACCTTGTAGACATTATGACAAGTGAAATAAGTCACATTGTATTGTATGATTCCACTTACATAAAGTACCTAGAATAGGCAAATCATATAGACAGAAAGTATTATGGAGTTTACTAGGGCTGGGGGCAAGAAGGAATGAGGAGTTACTGTTTACTGGGTACAAAGTTTCAGTTCAGGATGATGAAGAAACCCTGGAGAAGGACAGTGGTGATGGACAGAAATGTTAAACAGTATGATTATCACTAAAAGCCTTTATAGCATGATAAAATGTTGGCTATAATGTGATATTATATATATTATGAGAATATATTTAATGCCATCAAACTATGCTTAAAAATACTAAAAATAGTGGACTTTATGTTATATATACCTTTCTTAAAAAAAAAAAAAACCACCCAAGAAGTTACTTGAACTCTGTCTCTAACCTTCTACTTCTTACAGCTGACTATGTAACCCTCCATCTCAGTCCAGACACCAGAAAGATAAAATAAAAAATCAATTAAAAAAAAGATGATGGAAGCAAACTATTGCAAATGAGTACACACTCAGAATGGTAAGACGCTATGATAGACTATAAACAGAAATAATTTAAGAGGCATTTGGGATAAAACAGATCTACTGTCTGGATGAAGATGTAGAGAGAAGGGCATTTCTTCGCTGGTCCTTGAATAATCCTAGCAAACATAAGTGACTTCTTAAACCCTTACATTTACTCCACTGGACTAATCACACATTATTATTATTATAGTTTTAATTGTTTTATATTACTATGTCCATTTCCTCTATTAAACTGCACGCTTCTTCATAATAAAAACTTTAGTATTAATTTATTAAATTCACATAGTAGGTACTCAATATTCAATTACTGATAAATGTAGACTAAAAGAACTTACATTTTGCTTTTTCTTCTCCTGAACCAAAGCTACATAGCGCAATGCAATCTTGGTCAAAGTTGTGGCAAGGGAGGCAGCCACAAAGAAATCTCCATCCAGAAGGAATCCTCTCAGGGGAGGTCTGTAAGACAATCAAGGAAATGAAACATTCTAATTTCAACAGCATGCAGCTTTTACAAAAACGATTCAAATAATCCTATTAATTACTTTCAGTAAGGACCTGTTAGCTCCCTCTTTTGCTCTGAGAAGGAAAATGAACACATGACTTCAACTTTCATCCATGAATGATGCAAGAGCCAACTGAATACAGAAAGAGATAAATGCTTAATTAAGTGCATATGTACTGGAGTTAATGAACTATAATTAAATCCCAGCTTATCCATATTTATTGGCTAAGTTACAAACTTCTCTAAGTCTCAAATTCCTCTTCTGTAAAATGAAGATAATACATACTTTCTCAAGGGTTTCTGTCAAGACTCTATGAGGCAAACTATTTAGCATAATGGCTAGCACACAGTAAGTATTGCATAAATTTTTGGGCATAATGTTCATCATCTTTACCATAAAAATGGAAAGCAAAATAAAGGAGAAAACATAAAATTTTTTTTCCATCAACAGGAACTGAAAACATGTTAAACACCTTCTCTCTTTTTTGGTATCTTAAAGGGAGAATTATCATTTTGGTCACAAAAGCAGACTAGTAAGAAAAATGAAAATGAAATAATTTGAGTATTTTATACAGAAGAGTAATACAAGTATAACTGGCAGGACACAAGTGCCACAAATTACCTGTCTTCCTCTTTCTTGGTGGGTCTAGAACTGCTAAGGGCACTCTGAGTTGCATAGGTACCCATTTCAGTAACCAATTTCTGAACTGGTCCCACAGTTATTTCTTCCTCAGGCTTTAATTCACCAGCTTCTTTCTTTATTTCTGACTCAACAATTGGGATCTAAAAGTAAATTGGGAACATTAACTTTAATAATACCAAGAGCAAGCAAAATTTTATTTAAATATTCGAACACTTCTATATAAGGCATTCATTCACCCAATGGAATTTTTGAAACTTGGAACTCTGCCTTCTATTTTCTTTCCTTCCAAAGATATTGTAGTGGGAAGAACAGTGGATTTGGAGTTGTATGCTCCTAAATTTGAATTTTCACTCTTCCACTTACTAGTTGCATGGTTCTGGGCAAGTTAACTAAACAACTTTGAGCCTGTTTCTTGATCTGTTAAATGAAAATTTTAATTTTTTCCACATAAGTTACTTAATAAAAGAATGTACTAGAAGGCACAACATAGCAAGATTGGCCAAATCTACAAAGACAAGATACTAAAACTGGCAACAAAGAAACATCAGGTTACTTATAAAGGTTATCCCATCAGGCTAATCTCAGACCTCACATCAGAAGCAATGTGAGCAAGGAAAGAATGGGAACATATATTCAAAGAATTAAGTGAAAAACAGTGTCAACCAGAATACTTTACCTGGCAAGATTATCTTTCATATGGAAAGAAAGAATAAAAATATTCTCAGATAAACAAGACCTGAAAGAATTTGCCAGTAGCAGACCCACTCTTCAAGAAGTTCAGAAAGGAGTGCTCAACCAGTAAAACTAAAGATACATAAAGAAATAAGAGAACAAAAGGCAACCAAGAAAACAACCAATTTAATGCTAGGGACAGGAAATTTCAATAACAACGTTGAATGTTAACTTCCAGGATTTAAAAGGAAAGACTGGGCCACAGCAACACTGCATATTCAACAGAAGAGAGTTTGAACATAAGACTGAACTGGCAAAATAGAATTTTATGACTTTTGAGTAAAACATTACTGATTTTCTTTTCACTATGCTTTGTTTTCCCAATTTAAACATTTTACTTTCTTTTGAGTTGTTGATAGGCTCACAATTTGTTAAAATATTTTTCTTGTTTGTTTCTTTAAATGGAAACATAAGCTTTTCTTCCTTCCTGACCCCTCTGGAATTGGAAATATTTGGGAGTATTCTTATTTTGTGGCAGAAGGGTTATTTGCATAAGTTCAATAATGCTTGTTGCATTGAATCAGAAATTGGAAATATTCACTGTTGGACAGGGTTTTGACTGGAATGTCATATCTGAAGATCAATCAGAAAACTATGGAACTAAGGTGGATTTCAAGTAAGCCACAGAAGCTCTTAGAAAGATGGCCTGGCGTCATAAATAGTTCTGCCTGGCAGAGAGGATTAGAGAAGATCTGAAAGAATTTATAACATAAAATAACCTGGACTTTTCCAGCCAGCATTGTAATCAGTAAGAGACTGCAAAAGAGCAACCACACCAGAGGATTATCTTGAGAAAGACTTTGAAGGAAGAAAAAGAGATTGATCTTTGCTAGCAGATGGTATATCACAGAATACTTGGTAGGCAGGGCTGAATTGAGAAAGTTTATGTGTGACTTGTGTGCTGGGTATTTGCTTTCTAACAATTTGAGTAGCTGACATGTAAATATTTTCTCAAAAATATTTAAAACCATACTGTTTCTGTTGTTATAGAGACACAAACAAAATTACAAAAAATATTTTGAACATTATCTTTAAAATTCAGTATTTTAAATTTTGAAAGCTGTTTATTAACTGTCAAGAACTATGGAGTATGAGTAAAAATTTTTTGATACGCAAAGTAAATGTTTGTGGAAAAATGTAAAAATAAATAAATGGAAAAAAAAAGAAAATGGGCTATGATTATTAATAATAATAACCTGTAAAGACTTACTGAGAAAATATACATACTTCTTTTGAAAATCTAGCTTAGTTTTCCTGTTTGAGTTCAAATTATTGTAATGTCTAATATGACAGATATCAATTTCTATTTAGATTTACACAGAAAATGGAAAACCAAATATCAGCAAAAGATGAAAAATGCCCTAGTACAATATACAAAGTATAAAAACAGCAAATAAAATCAAATAAGCACTTAAAAAAAAAAGAATGTACTGGTTAGTCTATAACACAAAGTAGCTGTTCATTAAACCTCATTCCTCTTACCCATCCCTTCCCTTGAAATATTAACCAAAACAAGCAGTCATTTTTCTAAAATGAAATAAATGACTTATGTGTACATAGTAATTTCATCTAGGACTCTTAAAATTAACCAAGTGTATTAATACTTCAAAATCAATCTATCATTTAATTTAAGAACTCTAAGAGTCTTTAATCATTATCTATTTTAATTCATTTATTTAAAACAAACTTGAACAAATAAATACCAAGGTCCAGTAAGGTTAAGTAACTTATAGTCAGGGTCCTAGAGCTAATCATTGGCAGAACCAAGACTAAAACCCAGGTTTCCAGACGAGCAATCCACACTTCTATCTGATTTTACCATAAGGTGGTTTGGATGAGGAAATACTGTTATCAATAGGTTAAAGCAGAATTTCATAAGCCCTTTTTTTTCTATAAACATAGAACATTTTATTTAAACAAACTTTACCGAGAATGATAATATAGATAAAAGAACGGGTATTTGGCTCAACATGGTTCCACAGTCAATGAGATTCTATTATCTGGGTAACTAAAACATATTTCTCAGTGTTTTTTAGCCCAAACAGTTCTAAATAAAAACACAAAAGCAAATCAAACACCTAAAGGTCAGATTTTTCTAAAGTTAAAACTACCATATAAAGTAGGATTTAGTAAACTAAAACATACCTCCCCAAGGGACCTGCGAACCTCAGTCATCACACTCTGAATATCTTCCTTGGTACTGCAGTATTCTCCCAGGATCCATAATGCTCCTCGATAAATCCTAGGACAAGAAAACAAGATCTGAAACTCAAACCTGATAAACAAACATGAAGCAGAGTGCTTTCTTGTGAATAAGTTTAAGCAAGAATACAAAATTCTACAAATCTAAGGGACTATGGATGAATTATTTAAGAAAGAATGTAACAAGTATTTGTGTTTCTATTGTCTCCAGAATTAACCACCATGCATCTGTTGGCCCTAGAAATGTATTATTCTAATGTTAAAAGTAACTTTCTCTTTTTTGGGCAAATCAGTGACATAGTGGTTAATGCACCTGGATCCCCCATGTCTGACTGAGTGGTTTTAGTCTTGGATCAAGGAATTTTAAAAAGATACCAGACACCTGTGCCTGGACGTCCAAAGTCATGAAAGGCAAAATGGGAGAAGGAACTGTGATGTGACCATGCCCTAAGTAGGGTATTTCCTCACTCCTCACCTTACCTCTAGCACACATACCTTCTAGCAAATTAAAAAAGAAAAGTGATTCACTTTTTATTTGTAGTCACTGAAAAGAAGACAAGATAGTCAACAGAACAATGAATACAAAAGAAGCACAAGGGATCAAGCAAAAAAAAGTTACAATTCTTCAATGTAAAGCCATTGGTCATCTTTTCCCCAAGATTTTAATTAAATTTTTTCAGAAAAAATTAATTATTAAAACTGAAGCTCAAAGAGATAATGGCTGTCAATAATAAAATCTATTTTTT